AGGGCTGGCTCAGGGTGGGGGAAAGGGGGAGCGGAGAGACTCGGCCAGTGGGGAGCGGGACAGTTCAGGGTGCACACAGACCCTGAATAGAAATGTAAAAGCAGTGCCTTTTAAATATCCCCATTGCTGACAGTGAGGTTTACAGGCACTACAGTGTGTCAGAATGGAGAGAGCCTGGGGCGTTCACCATCTGGAATGAGAATATGGATAAAAAGTTCCAAAGATGGTGTCGGCTTTCTGAAAATAAATGAGCCCCTTTCAATACACGACGTGGGGGTGCAGGGTTTTATTGGATCACAGTCCATTTTTCCAATCCATATTCCCTTAACTTGCTGGTAAGAATATTGTTGGTGGCCGTATCAAAAGCTTTGCTAAAGCTGGCCCTGGGGCTTTGGGAGGACCAAAAACAAAGTATTTGCATATTAATCACTAGCTTACTGAATATGCAAATATGCAAATGAATGTTACTGGTCCTCCGAAAGCTCGTGAATGGATTTACTGGTCCCCGTGTCAAAAAGTTTGGGAACCCCTGGGTTAGTCGACTGTTCTATAGACCCTGGGGGCAGGGCCAGCAGCCAGTGCGCCTCACCCCCAAGGAGCCCCGCTGTATCAGGGGCAGTAGCGTGGGCTGCCAGGCAGGAGCTGGTCTGTGAGGGCAGCCAGTTTAAAAAACAGCTCCCTTCCCATCCCAGCTGCCTGTCACCCTGTGCTGTTGACTCTGAGAGACAGGCAGCAGCGCAGGGTGGCAGCAGCTCTTGTCACAGCTCCCTTCCCATCCCAGCTGCCTGTCACCCTGTGCTGTTGACTCTGAGAGACAGGCAGCAGCGCAGGGTGGCAGCAGCTCTTGTCTAGGGAGAGTCTGAGCTCCCAGACCCGGTGCGAGTCCAGCTCCTAATGCACTTTAAATACAGAGCCACAGCAGGGGTAGGTCCCAGACCTGGCGTGAGCCAGGACTGAACTGGGCTGCTGGCCAGCCTGCTAAAACATTTACTGGCAAGGGGGTGGGGAGAAATGCATGTAGTCTATAGCATTAACCTATAAACTTTTGCTTATCGGTTAATCGACCACACTATTACATCCCTAGTCAGGACACCCTCCTGCACAGCCCTGGTTCAAGCCCCTTGCCCAGAGCATCCCACTTTCAGATCAGAACATCTGGGGGGGTCAAGAGCAGGTCTGTTAACTCAAGGCTGGCCCATCTCTCAAAACAGACCCCATGCTGGGAAACCCTGTTCCACTGGTGAGTACCTCCTCTGAAAAAGTTTCCATATTTTAGTCTGAGTTTGGCTGCACCCAGGGCAGCAACTCCTCCTGCCCGTGTCTCCTACCAGGGAGCCAAGCTGCTGCTAGCGCTTCGGGCTTGGAGTCGCAGCTTAGCCTCTTGGGGTATAAACACACCCAGCTGTGTGGGGGCATGGCCGGTGTGACATGGCCACATCACTGTGTGTTGGGGGAAGCTATCCCTACCACTTTGGGGGTACCATGGCAGATTGCACTCACACCCACAGCCCTAGATGGGTAGAACCACGTCACCCTGGGGTGTGACACCCCACCTGAGCAACATTACACCCAGTGCTGTGATGAGAGGCATTAACTGTGCTCCCAGCTTGTGGTGCAGCTGGGCCCATGCAGTGTTTTCAGGGGAGACCTGCCTGTAGATAGCTGCTCAGTGAAAAGCAGGCGCCAGCCTTTGGCTCGCTTTCACAAGCCCTTCCCTTTATCAGTGGCCTTTTGAAGGGTGGACACTGCTATCAGGTTCTCCACTGCATAGTGCCCCTGCCCGCCTGCCAGGTACTCCTGTCTACAGCTCGGCTTCCTTGCCATTTGCCTCTGCCCCCCGTTTGCATGTACCATGTTGGCAGGCAGCCAGGTACTAGCTGAAGCCAGGTGTGGGCTCAGAAGCCTGCCAGAGAAACTGCTGAGGAGGGAAATT